GAACAGTGTTTCAAATTAATTGTGCTGCGCTAATGCACCCAGAGAAAAACAGCTGGCTCGGGGGTGGGGGAGAGAGCCTGTCACTTTGATCAAGGGGAAGAGAGCAGGCATTGCAAAAACCACACTTCGAATTTCAAATCACATGGAAGGTTTCTGAGGCGCTTATTATGCTTTGCCTAATGGATGTTTAATGTGCTTATCCAGATTACTTCAGAGGTTTTATGCAGCATGGACTATATGTCCATGCCACTGGTATATATTTCAGGGTGAAATTAAACCTTCTGAAGTAGAGAGCCCATTGCCCCTGCTTTGGTGATAAATGGTGTGGGGTTTGCAGGGCCTTCAGGTTTTTGTGGTCTGTCCACACTTCAAATGGCAGACACCCCCCCCAACAGATGTCGCCACGTAGTTAGCACCCATCGGACGGCAAATGCGTCCTTTTACCTAATGGAAGCTCTGCCGTGTTCACTGAAGAAGTTGAAGCTGCTTTAATGCCACCTCATGCCTATTATATGCCGTACTACGATCTTGAAATTGCATGTAGTGCTTAGTCCCAATGATGTTTTTTTCAAAAAGCAACTGGACTTTGTTTTTCCTCGAAGACGTTTCACATCTTCGATGAAAAGAAGTGGATCAGTGGTGGGTTGCCCCCGGTTCGGATGGTTCTATGGAACTGATAGTAAAACTGGCGGGAGGCTCCATCCACTGACCCTGATGTCATGAGAAGCGATCTGCGCATGCGCAGAAGTAAGGTGTGTGCATGAGCGAAGCAAGTGCGTGATCCCGTTGCAAACCGGTAGTAAAGGTAAGTAGAACCCACCCCTGGATTGGATGACTAAGGATCTCCATAGACATGCAGAGCGAAGATTTGTCATTAAAAAAAGGATTTGGTGACTTATACTAAACATCAGTCAAAGCTTTATATGCCACCAATAGCTTGACTCAGGGAGTTGAGCTATTCTAGGAAGTCAAGCTATTCTCCAAAGCACCTGAAGGCAGGACAAAAAGCAATGGGTGGAAACTAATCAAGGAGAGAAGCAACTTAGAACTGAGGAGAAATTTCCTGACAGTTGGAACAATTAACCAGTGGAACAACTTGCCTCCAGAAGTTGTAAATTCTCCAACACTGGAAGTTTTTAAGAAGAGATTGGATAACCATTTGTCTGAAGTGATGTAGAGTTTCCTGCCTAAGCATGGGGTTGGTCTAGAAGACCTCCAAGGTCCTTTCCAACTCTGTTATTCTATTCTATTCCTCCTTAGTTTTGAGGGTAGGATCACCCATGTTAAAAAATATTATTTTGCCATGAGTCCACCAGTTTGGTCTCGTCACCATTTCTTTTCTTAAAAAAGCTTCTTGTGGGGAAACCCAAAGAGGCACCTTCGTGGAAAACTGTGTTTTATATTTATATTTACTCCACCGTTTCTTTCATCTGCAATTCAATGAGGTTGCTTCAATGTAGGAAACATAATGTTTTTTTTGTTAACTGGCCATCTCTTCCCAAATTCAAGAATAACCTGCTGTGAGAATGCCAGCTGTGCCTCAGATAGTGGAGAGCTTCTATTAGCAGATAGCTCTGAACTTGGGTGTCCAAGGGTTTGTCTCCATAGGGGTTAGTTCCATATAATGTGCCACTATGGTAAAAGGAACATCAAGCTTATTTAAATACAGTATACAGATAGTCCTTGACTCAGGACCATTCATTTAACGACCGTTCAAATGTATGATGGTGCTGAAGAAAAGTGAGTTACTACCAGTCCTCACACTTATGACTATTCCAGTGTCTCTATGGACACATGATAAAAATTCTGGCTCTTGGCAACTGGCATCAATTTATGATGATTGCAGCACCCTAGGTCACGTGATTACCACTTGTGATCTTCCTAGAGGGTTTCCAACAAAGCAAAATCAATGGGAGAAGCCATATTCACTTATGGTGATTTACTTCACAACAAGCAAAAAAGTTTGTATAATCAGGTAGGACTCACTTAACGGCTGCATCACTTAGATGACCAACTGCGGTATCAGTTGAGGACTACCCGTTGGGGTGAAGCTATCAATTAATCCATCTAGCCCTTGGGTGAGTAAATTGCTATTCTTAGAGTCACAGGTGGTCTGATGGTTTTTGTGATCCATGAAGTGAGATTACTGAAAATTGTCTGTAAGACTGCCAGACATGTTAAGGTGGAAAACTGTTGTATCAATCCTAAAACAGACCTAACGAATAAGGTAAAATGCAATTGAATTTAAACTGCAAAATTCCAGATATAGCAAAGAAAGATCAAGAAACACTCAAACTCTTTGCTGACATTTTATAGACATCTGGATTTTTGTAGTCCTAAGAAATCAAAAGAAAATAACAAAGGAACACTATCTTATCTACCCATCCACCTACTTACCTATCTATCTATCTTCTACCTGTCATCTACCTACCTATCTACAGTATCTATACCTCAGTCATGTTCCATCTTTACCTGTCATGGCTATTCTCCCCACCCTCCAAAGATTAGATTAAATGTAGATTTGTTCATGAATAATTTTCCAGTTGTTTAGACCACGAGTCTCCAAACTTGGCATCTTTAAGACTTACGAACTTCAACTCTCAGAGTTCTCCATGGCTGGCTGAGGAATTTTGGAAGTTGAAGTCCACAAGTCTTAAAGTTGTCAAGTTTGGAAACCCCTGGTTTAGACCAAAGTTAGATGAGTAACCATTGTACACTAAGCCATAACTAAACACACCGCTATATGATTAAACATTATGTGGATTGTCAGCCAATTTCAAGTTATTTTTTGCTTAAAGCCAATTTTAAGGCCAATTGTTTTAGTCCGTAAACCATAGTGTGGTCTAGTATTATGTATAAACATTATCTAGCATTGGCCGTATCCCTAACCATAACACTTGATGGCCTTCTGGAAAAGCCTGAAGTCATAGCTTTGCCATCAGGTCAAGGGATCATAGAGTAACGTAGAACCCATAAAATGTCTCTACTGTCCTTGAATGGCTATGCTCTCCCAGTGGTTATATTTTATGCCTTCAATTGTTTGTTTTTAATGTTTGTATTGTTTGTATGGCTGTTTTATTTTTTGATATTTTGGAGGGGGGGTACTATTTATATTTTAATTGTAAGCCACCCAAAATCACAAATGTGAGTTGGGCAGCTATATAAATTGAATAAACAGACAGACAAACAAATAAACATCTTTGCCCATCCAACCCAATCTGGCATGAAGAGCATGCTGTGGGTACCACTGGCTAGGAAATGCCAGCTGGTGGGTCCAGAAGATCCCACCTTTTCTGGCATGGCACCCATCCTTTGAAACTTCATCCCCCCTGAGAAATAGACTGGCCCTGTCCTTGTTGGCTTTTATAAGGTTCTGAAAACTTGGATTAATGCCAAACCTGGGGCCCTGAGATTGATTTAAAGCCCATCTCCTGGTTGTGTGGATGATAGGCTAGATTACTGTATGACCAGCTGCTGCGTGTTTTATTCTTATTTTCTATTGTGTATTTTATGAATTTATTTTATTTATTGTATAGTATGTTAGCTGCCTAAAGTCACTTAAGTGAGATCAGCAGCTTTATAAATGAAATCAAATAAATAACACTAGGCCATTATGTTATATTTAACAAACTATGGTTAAAATAAACCATTTCTTTACATAAGTGAAGACTCTTCTGGCTGATTTGATCCAGAATGACATTTTCCCATTTTAGTCCGTACCAGAAGGTGTAGTACCAAATATCATAGGTGGATGTCAGAAATAATCCCAAACCAACATAAATTATTGAAAATCTAATTATTTAATAACTACATTCTAAAAATACTACAATTGCTGTGAACATAGTCATATCCTTCTGGGCTTCTTGTCATCATGGAATCCAGATTCTCTAACAAATTGCTTAATAGAGTTTACAATTTTTTCTTTTAAAAAGTAATATTAATGCTTAAAAAACCCTAGTCCATTCAAGTATGTTCTTAGACCTACAATCCCTTTCATATCTAATTTCTTCCCTCTCCGCTGGTTTCCAGTTCCAGTTGTCAGCATCTCCATCACAATCAGACACTGTCATTTAATCTTCCTTGCAGCCCTATTTCTGCCCCATTGGAGATTTCTATAGATGCATTGATGTTGCTGTAGCTAAGCAGTGATATTTACTTGATTTATATTGGGCTATATTTAAATTCCATCGGTTTTGGTTTTCATTGAGAAAAAAAAAAGTCATTTCAAGAGGCAGAATTTTTTTCTTCTTTTTTTTTTTTTATTCACCATTCTCCAAGAATGAAGTTAAGCTCTGTGGATACATCCCACTGGAAGATTATTAAAACGGAGCAGGGAATGATTCGTAGGGGAGGGCATAATTAAGGATAGGGTTAGACAGTGTACCTAGGTAGAGAAGACATTGTAATAATGTAAAGTGCCTTCTTTCTTCCCACTTAAGCCCTGTACATATGTATGAAGTTAAGCACCGTTATTCCCACTTCACAGATAGGAAAGAATAGCTAAGGGGGGGAAAGGCAATCCAAAGCTATGCTGGAAATAAGTGACTAAGGGCTTTTCTCCACAGCTGATCTGAAAGGCTCATCTTGTTTCTTCAACTGACAGAAAAGTACATTGCCATGATTTTTGCTGTTGTACTGCCTACTTGTGTCCTACTTTCACTGCCTCTGTTTTCAATCACCGCAAATCACCTGATTTTGTAACAATGAAAAAAGCCTAGCAAATTTTATATAATTTGAGGGTGTTTGGGATGGCATTAAGATAAAACAGTAAGGATGACTTAAGCACATTTCATTCAGAAATTGGGATGAGCTCAAGGTCAAGGTCCAACTCATGAGGACAAGAGAAAGAAAATATTACCAGGCCTAGAACATCTTTGTAGCATGATTATGCACGAGAAGGGAAAGATCTTAATAAAACATCCTTCTACCTCCCCAACCAAACCACAATCTCACTACCACTGCAGTCCGTTCCATAACAAGATGTAAGATATGCTACTCACCTGAAGGAGGTTTGTTTGGCAGCTTAGGCACTTGACTCCTCGGTTCCTCTTAGTTCCTGCCACATGACATGGTGAAGGAGAGGGGGGGGAAATCACAGTGTTTCTTTTGTCAGGTTCTTCCAACCCAGAAGAAAGGGGAAAAGCCGGCTAGGCATATATAGCAGCCCCTTCCATAGTCAATTGGAGGTGAAGGGGAGGTGCTGTTGGGTTGTCTGCAGACCTCCCCACCCTTTGTGACAAAGGACTTCAGATGCTTTCTCAAAATCCAGCCCTCAGCATCTCCAGCAAAGCTGATTAATGGGACACTCACCACACATGGAGAGGCAACAAGAATGGGAAGCGGAGCAAAAATATGCACTGCTGAACCAGATGCAGGTCCAGAAGCTGAAGTGTTGTTGTGCTTTGCAAAAAGTTCCAGTTGTTTGGAGTTTTAAAAAGTTTTTGGAAAGGTGGAACGTTCGTGACTGCAACTCCTGTGGAAATATGCACTCTCTGGTGGCCAAACTCAGAAAGGCAGCTAGAATGGCTTTTTATTTTCAAAAGTTAGTTTACAGATCCGTATTTGCAATCTGAAAGCTCCCAGGGAGCCACTGGCTTATCAAAGAAGGCAGCCAGTGCCAACAAAACCTAGAAACAGAACACACAGTCTCTTTGTAAGGGATTTTGCTGATTAAAACCAAAGGTCAGAGGAAGGAATGAAAAATGCTATCAATCTTTTATACAGAATTTAGCAAAGTGACAGAAAATAATCAGAACATGTATTTGCTTCCCACAAGGTGAAATCAAAATGAAGAACATTTGTTTTATAGAATGCACAAATGTAGAAGAAATAATACAAAGCCTATATCTTGTGCCAATGATCTCAAAGTATGTTGGCATAGTTAGTGCACAAACCCATGAGTAGGCTCAAATGAACTATAAACCACCAAGAATTGGATTTGCACAATATGCAAAGCTTGTCAGATCAAATTGCCCTGGTACTGATCAGTATAAAGCAGCCCTGATGTTTATCATAGGCCAAAATCACTAGAATATTTTTATGCAGACACAGAGTTTTGAAAGAGAATACTTGCACTGGAAATTTTTCCAGGGAATCTTGCACTTTATTTTGTTCGTAGTACAGATTCAACAACCTGCAGTTTTTCATATATTTTGAATTATCCACATATATGGATGTAATTCTAAAATGCCAAGGCAGCAAGGCCAGGGGTGAAATTGAGCAGGTTCTGACAGGTTCTGGAGAACCGGTAGTGGAAATTTTGAGCAGTTCGGAGAACCAGCAAATATCATCTCTGGCTGGCCCCAGAGTGGGATTGGAATGGGGATTTTGCAGTGTCCTTCCCCTGCCATGCCTACCAAGCCATGCCCACAGAACCGGTGGTAAAAAAATTTGGATTTCACCACTGAGCATGGCCATCAGTCTTCTGAGTTGAAGTCTACACACCTTCAAGCTGCCAAGGTTGAGAAACGTTGATCTAGAGAGCGTCATGATATGGGAAAATATGGCATAGATAGATGGACTCTAGCTGTGTTTATCTCATCCCAGATTATGGTTGAGTTCTGTAATACTCCCTGTCGGATGGTACTGAGAAACAAGAGCTACTTTTTATTGAATGAATAAATCCTTTCATCACCAATTAATCGTCTTTAATCACCAAATCAAATTTCAGAACCCCACTGAAATTTCCAGTTGAGGAGAATGGCCTTGAACTGAATTTTCACATCACAGACATTACACTAGTAAATAATTAGAGGGACACAACAAAATAAGGCATACAGCAAGGACATCTGTGACAGCAAACCTAATTCTATGATTCTTTTTCTTTTGTAATATTTTTTAGCTCTTCCTCAGAAGAGTCAGCTCTCATACAGGAGGTTGGGGGGTGGGGTTGCAACGAATTACACACAAATTCTTCACATGCTTTCATAATGTTTATTTAACATTATGCAAGTATAACTAGCTGATAGAAGATCAGGAGTCCCAGTAGAAAATATATGCTATGGTTTGCAAGTTTTCAAACAAATGTTTAAAAAAACCTTTTGGAGTTGCTTACTTTGCTTTTCACAACTATACCTGTCCACTCACATATGAGCATCTTGTGATGTGGGAGGTGTATTCATTTCTTCTATAATTTCCATTTTCATGCTGTGAAAGCAGAAACAATTGCAATTAAGTGAACTGGCCGGTTTCTGCTATACTCTTTCCTACTAAGGATTAGGAGTTTCAGTACAATGTCCTTTCAAATGAGCCTTTTCATTGTAATTTGAATTCCCCTACTATTGGGGAGGATATGTCCATGTAGGTTAATTGAAGCTGTTGAAGGCCAGCTTTAGCAGTGAGATGTCAGGTATTTTCAACATGTGTTTTAACAGAATTTTGCAACCTTGAATGTAGTCTCCTCTCCCTGCATCTTTAACCTAAAGAGAACTAGGAACGGTCCAGTCAGATGCTTTCTCAAATTCCATTCTTGCTTTCGTATTATGGACCTATCTGCCCATTGCCTTGCAGCTCTTCCTCAGGTTCCTCAAGGTTATTCTCACAGCCCAGTCAAAAACAGAAGAGTTGGTTGTATTATTACAGTTTGAATTCTGGAGTGGTGGCTTTGGTTTTATTTTGAGCTACATATACCTTGAGTCAATCTTCTATGAACTCATGTCTTCCATTTATGTTGAACAGGAATTATCCTCTAAGACTTCTGGATGCAGGAAACAATGTCACATTTCCTTGAGAAACAGGTATGAAGGTATTTGTATGTGAAAGGAGGCTTTTCCTCTAAAAAAAAGTCATATTAGAAATCATTTTGTGCATCCACCTTAAGATGTTATACATGATCATCTGCGCTTATTTATTTCAATAGTCAGAGTTACAGAAATATATTTGTAACCCTGTCCAGCATCCCAGGACAGTCTGTTTCCTTCCTGGTCTTTGGGGTGTTCTTTCATTGGCAAGAAATTTTATGTGTCCTCATTGCTTTCCTCCCACCTTTTCCCTCTGCACTTCCTGAACTGAGCTGGCTCTTCCTTCTGCAGTTTCTCTTTGAAGTTCAGCTGTCTGGCTATGTGGACAGAGAGAGGTTGTCAAAGAAAACAGAAGTCCTCTTCTTGCTTTACTCTTCTGCAATCCAAAGTGCAGCAGCACCACAGGCCTTTGAAGAAGGACGAAGCAACATTGTAAAGTCTGTGTTTAGTTGTCTATGGAAATATCAGAAATGGTAGTTCTACTTGCTATATCACCATAACATAACGTTTCATATCACCAGATCATTCATTCATAGGTTTTTATCAAAAAAAAAAAAAAAAAAAAGATTTACAACAGATATGCTATTTTAAAAATCCACATTCCCAACTTATTTTTCTTCTACTTTAGGAAATATTTCCTATCTTTTCAGTCTCTATCAGGAGTCGGAGCATGATGGTATCCAATGTACATCTGAGAGATCGTATCGCCTGAGATTGATAGGGCAGCCAATCAATTCCTAGATTAAGAAGTCTTGATTAAGAACCTAGCCAATGAGGTCTTTTCTTCTAAATGCTTAAATAAACTGTGGGATGCATGAATCTAGGAATTGAGTGGTGAGGTTGCCTAGAGGTAGAGCTCTTGCCTCACAATCAGGAGGCTGTGAGTTCAATCCTAGATAGAGGCAGCTATTTCTCTCTCTGGGCATGTTGAGGATATATCTGCTGAATATAACTCCGCATTGGCGGCAGGAAGGGCATCTGGCCAGTAAACACTCAACTTCATTCAGTTGCCCAGACTCCATTTCATTTCATTTTCATTTTTCATTTTATTTGATTTATATACCGCCCTACTCCCGAAGGACTCAGGGCGGTGAACAGCCACAAGATAAAACACATAAATACAAAATTTAAAAGCAAAGTAAAACCGAATTAAACAATTTGGCCCAAGACAGATTTAAAACACCCCAATAATTTTAAACAGATTAAAATTTACATTTTAAAAAGGGAAAAAAGGGAAAAAATTAGGCCAGGCCAGCCTGATGGAATAAAAAGGTCTTAAGAGCGCGGCGGAAGGTGCGCAGATCCGGGATCCTCCGTATCTCCGGGGGAGCTCATTCCAGATAGTAGGTGCCCCCACAGAGAAGGCTCTCCCCCTGGGGGCCGCCAGTCGACATTGTTTGGCTGACGGCACCCGGAGGAGTCCCTCTCTATGAGAGCGTACTGGCCGGTGGGAGGCTATTGGTGGCAGCAGGCGGTCCCGTAGGTAACCAGGTCCTAAGCCATGGAGCGCTCTAAAGGTAGTAACCAAAACCTTGAAGCGCACCCGGAAGACCACCGGGAGCCAGTGCAGCTCGCGCAGGAGAGGTCTTACATGGGAACACCATGTCGCTCCCATAACCACCCACGCAGCCGCACTCTGCGCAGCTGGAGCCTCCGGGTGCTCCTCAAGGGGTGCCCCATGTAGAGAGTGTTGCAATAGTCCAGGCGGGAAGTGATGAGGGCATGAGTTACCGTGAGTAAGGAGTCCCGATCCAGAAAGGGACACAACTGGTGAATCAGGCAAACCTGATAAAAAATCATCCCAGTCACAGCCGTCAAATGCTCTTCTAAAGATAGCTGTGAATCCAGGAGGACGCCCAAGTTGCGAGCCCTCTCCGTGGGGGCTAATGATTTGCCCCCAATAGTCAGTGATGGCGCCAACTGACTATATCGGGACGTCGGAAACTACAGCCACTCGGTCTTGGATGGGTTAAGCCTGAGCCTGTTTCTCCCCATCCAGATCCGCACGGCCTCCAGGCACCGGGACATTACTTCAAGGGATCGTTGGGGTGGTCCTGGGTGGAGATGTACAGCTGAGTGTCGTCAGCATACTGGTGGTACTTCACCCTGAAACCACAGATGATCTCGCCCAGCGGCTTTACATAAATGTTGAACAAAAGGGGCGAGAGGACCGACCCTTGTGGCACCCCACATATGAGGGGCCTCGGAGTTGACCTCTGCCCCCCTGCCAACACAGACTGCAACCGGTCAGAGAGAAAGGAGGAGAACCACCGTAACACAGTGCCCCCCACCCCTAACTCTTCCAACCGGTGCAGCATGATACCATGGTCGATGGTATCAAAAGCTGGTGAGAGATCTAATAGGACCAGGACAGAGGAGCAACCCCTGTCCCAAGCCCTCCAGAAATCATCAACCAACGCGACCAATGCCGTTTCCGTGCTGTACCCAGGCCTGAAGCCCGACTGGAACGGATCCACCCCGCAAGGGATTATGGAGTCATTAAAAGAAGATGATGATACATGAATCTAGGAATTGAATCGAGATCTCTAAGAGCTTATTTCCTTTCTTAGTTGAGGTCTTCCTTGAACCACCTTCCTGGCATCCCAGAAAGTGAACGAAGGACCGTATATGCTAATGACTCCCATCACCATT